CTGTGGACACGAAAACAAACAAACGTTAGATTATTCAGGATTGGGAGAGAGAGAGACAGAGATAGAGATAGAGACAGAGACAGAGATAGAGATAGAGGCAGAGACAGAGATAGAGACAGAGATAGAGACAGAGACAGAGACAGACACAGAGACAGACAGACAGGAGGCAAGCAGACAGAGTACCTTCATACAAATATTAATCCAAAACGGAAAATCCGTGTCACAATGTTTTTATTGTTCCCTCGTAAACCCGACGCCGATCGACGCATCTGCCTCAGCTTCTTTGGCATGACACTTGACACACACTTATGTCTGCCTCATCGCGGCCATTTGGCGGATGACTCCGTCGGAGCCACGACTCCACCTCGCTCTTTCGGCTCTTCTGAAACGGCCACTTCAGTCTGTTTATGTGTGTATGTATGCAGGTATATACGAGTATGTGTATATATATTTATACATATATATATCTACATATCTACATATATACATAAATACACATATATGCACACACACATACACAGGCGCGCACAAACTAAGCTTCCACTCCTCCCCCCCCTCACACACACAAATACCTCCACAACCTCACACGGACAACTCCTCCAACTCCAAACACACACACCTTACACACGCACACAAACCTTACACACGCACACAAACAACCCACTCCCACACGAACATAATTTCTTTCCAAATACATACCCGCCCCCCCTCTTCTAAAAAAAAAACAAAAAAACGTTAGGGCGTACCTCCCCCCCCCCCTCACCCTGCCCGCCCATTGCCTCCAGGTTATAAATGATCAGCCTGACTTTACAACCAGGTGATTGAGCTGAACATATTCCCTGCGTCCATTCCCGGGCAGTCGAGGTCAGGCGAGGTCAAGCGAGCTAAGGCAAGGTTAGGCGTGCATTAGCAGGTCAACAGGTCATTTACGTGGTCACTTGCCCCTGTGATTTAAGGAGACTTTAACTACTAGTCTGATATTGCGCTAGTGTTAAGGGAAAGGTTTGGCCTAGGAGTTTTGATAATAATAATAATAATAATAATGATAACAATAATAACAATAACAATAATAATAATAATAACAATAATAATAATAATAGTAATAGTAATAACAGTAATAGTAATAATAAATTGATATTGTCTTAATATAATCATTTAATATTTCTAATGATAATAATAATACAAATAATAGTATCTTAATATATATAATTTTGATAGGATTTTAATAATAATTATATAATTTTGACAGGATCTCAGTAATAATGATATAATTCTAACACGATTTTGATAATAAGGATATAAGTTTTATGATATAAATAACAGAGATTTAATCAAAGGATCGAAGAGGAACTGGATACCCTAGACATGGGAGGCGTTTGGCTGGATAAATAGCACGGCCAGATTCGAGGAGTAAAATGAGATGGGGGGAGAGCAAGTGTGTGTGTGCATGCGTGTGAATTCGCACATACACACACACATACACACACACAACCACACAGACACACACACATACACACACACAACCACACAGACACACACACATACACACACACAACCACACAGACACACACACACACACATATATGTATATAATGTGAGATAGATTGATAGGTAGATAGACAGATAGATTGATAGGTAGATAGACAGATAGATAGATAGATAGAGAGAGAGAGAGACTGAAAGAGTAAGAATTAGAGAGAAAGAAAAAGAAAGAACGAAAAAATAGAAAGACTAAAAATGAATCAATCCAAAGGACAGACAAACAATAAAACACACACAACAGACACATAAACAACCCCCCCCCAATCAAAAAAAAAAAAAAAAAAAAAACCCTGACAGAAACGTACGCATTCTACTTACACTCCATATTACTCCATGACCATCCATATCAACAACGCCTATTACAAAAGCCGATAAAAGGGGTAGTAAGTGTAGTGGTTTTCATAAGAGCACCAACTTTATGGGCCGTTGCGTGATCAAGACACTTTTATAAGGAGACTTCTTTATGGCCCCAGCGACGCCCAGGGTGATCCACGAGGCGGCTCCTCCATAACCATAAAGCTCTTAGGGTATGGGGGTATGGTGGCATGAAGGTATGGGGGTATGGGAGCATGGGGGCGTAAGGGTATGGGGGTATGGGGGATTGGGGGCATGAAGGTATGGGGGTATGGGGGATTGGGGGCATGGAGGGTATGGGAGCATAAGGGTATGGGGGTATGGGAGCATGGGAGCATGAGGGTATGGGGGTATGGGAGATTGGGGCATGAGGGTATGGGAGCATGGGGGCATGAAGGTATGGGGGTATGGGGGATTGGGGCATGAGGGTATGGGAGCATGAGGGTATGGGGGTATGGGAGATTGGGGCATGGGAGGATTGGGGAGCAAGGTAGGGGGTGTTAGGGATCGAGGCAGAAGGTTGGGGGGGGGGGGATTGGGGAGCTAGGTACGGGGTGTTAGGGATTGAGGCAGAAGGTTGGGGGGGGGGGATGGGAGGGTTGGGGCAAAAGTGTGTGTGATGGGAGTACTTGGGGTAAAGGAAACGGATATTAGGGTAAGGATAAAAGGTTTTAGAGACCTAGAGGCATTGAGCTATTGGGGCAAGAGGGAGGGGCATATACAAGACATTGGGGTAAAGGGAAGCAGTATGAGGATATATGGGCATTAAGGTAAGGGGAATAGAGGATCCGAAGGGAAGGAACACTAGGGTATTTGGGTAAGTACAAGGGGTTACATGGATAAATGAGGATAAATGGGATTGAGATAAATTAATAGGGTATGGAGGTATTGGGGTAAGAGGGAAGGTTATAGGGACATGGAGCGTTGGGGTAAGGAAGGCCAGGGGGCATAGGAGTATGAGGGTAAGAGGGAGGATAAGGAAGGGGGGGCGAATCTAGGGCAAGGAGTGAGGAAAATGAGACTAAGGGAAGGGTATAAGGAGGATCTGGGTAAGGGAAAGCGAGCACTCAAGACTATTAAGGGAAAAGGGGCAAGTACATATGAAGGCAAGGAAACCGCACAGGACATAATAACATTAAGGTAAGGGAGGGGAAGGGGTACAGGAAAAAATAAATAAAGTTGAAGAGGCAAAGGAAAAGGGGCATAGAAACACAGGAGCATTAGGGTAACGAGGATCTGGGTAAGGGAAAGAGAGCACTCAAGACTATTAAGGGAAAAGGGGAATGTACATATGAAAGCAAGGACACCGGTACAGGATATGAAAGCATTAAGGTAAGGGAGGGGAAGGGATATAGGAAAAAAAGAAATAAGGGTATAGAGGCAAAGGAAGAGGGGCATAGAAACACAGGAGCATTAGGGTAACGAGGATCTGGGAGGATCTGAGTAAGGGAAAGGGAGCACAGACTCAAGGGAAAAGGGGCACGTGCATATGAAGGCAAGAAAAACATAGGACATGAAAACATTAAGGTAAGGGAGAGGAAGGGGTATAGGAAAAAAGAAATAAATGGGTGTAAAGGCATAGGAAGAGGGGCATAGAAACACAGGAGCATTTGGGTAGCGAGAAAAGTGGGCATAGGGTATCAGGAAAGCAAGAGAGGAAGGGGATGGGTAGGGGGGGGAGGGAGCATACTTACAAGGAGGGTGACGTTTGAGGGTCAAAGGATTCAGGAGGTCAGGGGGTCAGCAAGGGGGGGTGGAGGGGGGAGGAGGAGGGCATAGAAGCAAGAGGGGCATAGGGATGGGGCATCGGGTGAGGTAGGGGGGGGGGGTATGAGGTCAGGGGGACACGAGGCCAAGGCGGATGGGATGGGATAAGGGTCAAAGGGAATGGGGGGGGGGGGGGGGTGGCAACAGGTGTTGGGGGCAAGGGATGGGGCAGAAGACCAGAAGGGAGGGGGGTGGGGTAAGGGAGGGATAGGGGAAGCAAGGGTACAAGAAGGGATAATGATAGTGATAGTGATAATGATGATGGTGATGATGATAAAGTTGATGACGATGGTGATGATGATGATAATGAATATGATGAATATGATGATGATAAAAATGATGAAGATGGTGGTGATGATGATGATAATGATGATGACGATGATGGTAAACATGAGGATGAGGATGATAAAGATGACGATGGTGATGATAATGATGATAACAACAACGATGATATTGCAAAAAATATAATAATTGAAACAATTCGCGGGAGTAATGAACCCAGACACCATCTCTAATTTGCTTCCGGTGATGAAACGTTCACAAAAGTTTCAGTTTCGGTCAAAACAAAGACGGAGCGAAAGACAAAAAAAGAAAAAAAAAGAGACTATTTTCTCTTTGTTCTGTTCTTTGTCTTTTTCTTTTATGTTTTTTTTCCTCTTCTTCCTTATTTACTCTTTCTTTGTGTTTTCTTTCGTCTCTGGATTCTCTGTCTTCTGTTTTTACTTTCTTCAGTGTTTCTTAAGTCTGTTTTATCTTCTTTTTTTTGTCTACTCTTCTCTCTTCCCTTTCTTCCTCTTTGTTCATCTGATTCTGCTTCACTTTTTAAATTTTCCTTCCTGTATTTATTCTTTACATTTTCTTGTTCTTTCTATTTTTACTTTCTCTTTCTACTCTACTTTCTTCCACTTTTTCGTTTCCTCTCTATATTGTCTTCTTCTTCCTCTTCTAGGACATTATCTTCTCTTTCTTTTTTTATCTTCTCTTTATTTCTCTGCTTTATTCCCCCTTCTTCTCCATCATTTATCCCTCTTACAGTCCAACTTTCTCCACCTCTCTTTCTCCTTCATCATCCCTTTCTCTTTCCCTCTTCCATTCTTATTCATCTTCTCTCTTAAAGCTTCTTCCTAACAGCTGTCCTGTAACTTTACTTCTGAGAAATACGAGTTCAAAAGCAAAAACAAAACACACACACACAAAAATAATAATAAAAAGATGAAATAAAAACAGGGATAGTTTATGAACATTGGCGGTTATAAGCAGTCGTAGTTTATTCGTTAACGGTCGTTTTCTCAGCTTTGAATTTGAATTTGAATTTGAAACCTCAGGTCAAGTGCCGC